GCGCGACTTCGAAAAGACTGTCGGAATGACTTTAAAAAAACTAACTTTGGAAATTAAACAAAAACTTCATCGACGCGAATTACGACGACACAAAAGAGTGCGCGATTTATGGAAACACTGACGGCGCGACTTGAAAAAAAGACTGACGGCGCAATTTTCAAAAAGACTGACATCTCGCATTAGAAAAAAAAGATTTGAGCGACGCAATTTACAAAAGAATAAGGCAAGATTTATGATAACACTGACGGCTCGACTCACGAGAAGACTGACGGCGCGACTTGCAAACATTCTGACGCGCGGCTCAAAAAAAACTTAAATCACGTGAATTGTGAAACAACTAGGGCGCAAGTAACGAAATCTCTGAGGGCGTGACTCACGAGAATACTGGGGGCGCGAATTATGAAAACATTGACGGCGCGACTCAAAAAAAAATTGAACCTCACAACTTAGTAAAATAGTGAAGGTGCACTTACGAAAAAACTGGCGCCGTGAATTTAAAAAAAGTTAACGAGCGACTTAAAAAAAGACTGACGACACGATTTCAACTAGCTGCCCGACTACGTCATTCAGTCGAAAATTTTTTTTAGCGCGACTTGAGAAAAAAAACCGTCGGCGCGACTAAGGAGAAAGTTAATGGCGCGGCTTGAAAAAATGTAGGCGGCGCGACTTAAGAAAAAATTGAGTGTGCAAGTAACAAAAAACTGACGGCGCGACTTAAAAAATCAGAATTTAGAGACCCGAATTACAAAAAGTAAGAGGTTACAAGTTCCCAAACGACTGGCAGCGCAACTTACGAGAAGATTGGTGGCACAACATACAAAAAACGGCGTTGTGCCTTAAGAAAAATTTAAGAGAGCGAATGAAGAAATGACTAAAGTTCAGTCTAAAAACGTTATTCAGTGCATCTTCAGCGACAAGCATTGATGAAAAAACTGAAACCGCAACTTTAAAAAATTGACTGCGCGACCTACGATTGAGGGCGAAAAGACTGACGACTTGAAGTAAGAAAAGAACAAAGGCAGGCTTTTAAACCGTGGCGTCACTATGAAATTCAGTCTAAAAACGTCATGCCGCACGCTTGTTTAGCGGCATGAAGTCAAGAAAAGACGGAGGCGTCGCTAAAAAGAAATTTGACAGCGCGACTAACGAAAAAATCGACGGCGCGACTTATAAAAAGACTGGCCTCGCGAATCACGGACAAACTACCGGCGCAACATTAGGAAAAGATTGACGGCGCGAGTTAGACAAAGATTGACGATGAGGCTTACGGAAAGTTTGACGACGCAATCGCAAAAACACTGGAGGCACGGCTCAAGAAAAACTGACGGCGCGACTTAAGAAGGGAAGGACTTTTCGACTTACGAAAAGACTGACGGCGCGAGTAATAAAAAGCTGGCGGCGTGACTTTCAAAACAATCGATCGCCTGACTTAAGAAACGGTTGACGGCATCTCTAATGGGAAGACTGATAAGGCGACTAAAGAAAATATAAGGCGGCGCCAATTGGTAAAAACTGACTCAAGGAAAATAAGAACAGACTGAGGGCAAGAATTGAGGAGAGACTGACGACGCGAATTGATAAAAGACTGTCAGCGCGACACCGCTGAATTGATAAAAGCCGCAAAGCCACTACTATTTTTAGTCTAAAAACGGTATGCGGCGCGACTAAATGAACGACCTGGTTAAATTACTGACGGTGCGAACTAATAAAAAAATATCGGCGCGACTTAAAAAAACTGAGGGACGATTTAAGAAAAGACTGACGGCGCAACTAAAAAAAGCCGGGCGGCGTGACTTCACAACAGAGTGACAGCGCGTTTTGAAAAAACTGCCGGCGTGACATAAGGCCGCGGCGCAACTACGAAACTCAGTCTAAAATGGGTCTCAGCACAACTTTAGCGGAGCGACTGACGATGCGATTTAAGAGAAAATTAGCATCTCAATATAAGTGAAGATTGACGTCGCTCATAAAAAGAGACTGACAGCGCCATTTTAACCCGCGGTGCGACAACTAAAATTCTGTCTTAAAACTATAGTATTTCCTTTAGCGACTCGACAAAAAACTAACTGCGAATCTTAGAAAAAACTAGCAGCGCAAACTACGAATATGGTGGCGCGAATTGTGAGAAGACTGCCAGCGTGATATAAAACTGCGGCGCAACTATCATTTTCAGTCTGAAATGGGTATTCGCGCAACATCAGCAGAGCGATCTGATAAAACGATCTGACGGCGCGATTTATAAAAAGACTGGTGGCTTGTCTTGAGAATAGACTTAGGAGGCGCTATTTAAGAAACGACTGACGTCGCGACATAAAAACAGACTGATTTTTACATTTTGAGCTCGTGTCGTGACTGCCAAATTCAGTCTAAAAACGATAGTCTATTCTTCAGCGACTTGAGAAAAAGCCGATTTAAGAAATAATCTTAGCGGCGCGATTTAAGACATGACTGACCGCATCAATTGCGAAAACACTGCCAGCGCATCAAAGCCGCGGCACCACTACAAAATTCAGTGTAAAAACTGCATGCGGTGCGTCTTTAGCAGAGCGACTTGACAAAAAAAATTGATAAACGACTAATAAAGAGACTGTTGGCGCAAATTACAAATAGACTTAACGGTCAAAAATTACGAATAGACGATATTTTTTCTTCGGCAGCTTGACGAAAATACAAGGGGCGCGTCTTAGAATAGACTGACTGAGCAACTTACGATTATACTGACGGCGCGACTTCAGAAAAGGCGGACAGCGCGACTTTTAGCCGCGGCGCCACTACCAAAAGCGTTATAAAAACGGTATGCTGAGCGAATTTATCCGAGCAACCTGAACAAAAGACTGAAGGCGCGATTTTGTAGAAGACACGCGGCGCGACTTTGGAAAAGACTTAAGAAGCGCAATTTACGAAGAGACTGACGGTGCGACTTGAGAAAAGACTGATGGCGCGACTTGAGAAAAGACTAACAATGCGACTTACGAACAGACTGGTGGCGCGAATTGCGACAAGAATTGCGGGCGCGACAAAAAACTTCTGTGGGGTTATGAAATCCAATATAAAAACTGTATGCGGCGCGGCTTCAGCAGAATGATTTTTCGAAAACACTGACAGCACAATTCAAGAAAACACTGACATCGCGAATAAGAAGATACTGACAATGCAATTTCAACCCGCGGCGCGACTACAAAAGTCAGTCTAAAAACGATAGTTTTTTTTCAGCGAGCTGACAGAAAAAAAAACTGTTCAATTTTGACGGCGTGATCTAAAATTTTGACGGCGCGAAAAGAGTGACGGCGCGACTTACGGACACACTGGCTGCCCTATTTACAAAAAAAAACTGGCGACGCGACTAACGAAAAGATTTAGGCGGCGAGTTTTAAGAGAAGAATTCAGCGGCGCTACTTAAGAGAAGACTGTAGGCGCGACTCGAGAAAAGACTGACGGCGCGATTTGAGAAAAGACTAACACCACCGCTCACGAAAAGTCTGTTGACGCGCATTGCGACAAGAACTGCGGGCGCGGCAAAAAAATTCTGCGGGGTTAAGAAATCCAATATAAAAACTGTATGCGGCGCGGTTTCAGCAGAATAATCTTTCGAAAATACTGACGGCACAATTTAAGATATCAATGACATTGCAAAAAAGAAGATACTGACAATGCAATTTGAACCCCCGGCGCGACTACAAAAGTCAGTCTAAAAACGAACGTCTTTTTTTTTCAGCGACCTGACAAACTCTGAAAACTGAATGCGGCGCGACTTCAGCGGAGCGAAATGACGAAATGACTGACAGATCGACTTAATAGAAGACTGGTTGCACGAATTACGAATAGACTTAAAGGTCGAAACATAAAAAAAGACGATAATCTTTTTTTCAGCGATTTGACGAAAAAACAATCGGCTCGTCTTAGAAAAAACTGACTGCGGGACTTACGAATAGACTGGTGGCACCACTTAAAAAAAGACTTAATCGGTGCAACATAAGAAAAACCTGACGGCGAGACTTAAGAAATGAGTGAAGGTGCGATCTACGAAAACACTAACGGTGCGACTGACAAAAAACTGGCGACATTACCCAAAAAAACTGGCGGTGCGATATTAAAAAAGATTGACGGTGAGACTTACAAAAAGACTGGCGCACTTTAAGAAGCGACTGATGGCGCGACTTACGAAAAGACTAACGACGAGATTTAACCCAGGAACAGCGGCGCGACTTAAGAAAGAACTGGAGGCGCGACTTAAGAAAAGATTGACAGCCTGAGTTTAGACATAACTGACGGCGCTACTTAAACCCGCGTCAAGACCACAAAACTCAGTCTAAAAACGGTATATAGCACGACTTTAGCAGCGCGACCTCAAGCGAAGAATGATGGCGCTACTTAGGAGAAGACTGATTGTGCGCTTATGAAAAGACTGACGCCGCAACTTATTAGAAAACTGGTGGCGCGACTTTAACCCACGGCCCGACTACGATGTCCAGTCTAAAAACGGTACGCGGTGCGACTTGACGAAATAGTTGACTGCGCGATGTATTAAATTACTGATAGCGCGACTCGAAAAAAGCTGACGGGGCGACATTAGAAAAAACTGAGGGTTCGACCAGGGTAAGCAAAATTAGCTGAGAAATTATCTCATTTAATATTTGAAAGACAAAAATTTGCCACCAAACCTGGAACATCAAAGCACCTCAAAGTACAAATCAGATTATCAACTGATGCTAGCTTGGGCAAAAAAACCTGGAAAACGTGTGTCATTGTCGTTTTGACCAAAATTTTGTTTGCTCAATGTGAACTTCAGACGCGATTAATCTGCAAAATTAATTGGCATGCATTCTTAAGAGCAGATTTGTAGATTATTCTCATTTCTGTCTACGCAACGTAACACAATCAAAGACAGTTTTGTTGGCTAGTTAAACGTGTAATAAATGGACTGTTGGCCATTTATTCAAGAAATGGTATCAGCAGTTGCGTTTTGCAAAGAGTTTTTACTATATGGTTGATAGGTGTATTGTTATTACAAGTCAAAAACCACGGCATGTAATAATCGATTATACTGATGAATTTATAGATTTATTATAGCTTCTGGCGTCTTATTATAGCCAAGTCTTTCTAACCATCAGCTAAACATAATATGTATATTGCACTCTTATTTTTCATGCACAGGTGTACAATACATTTAATTGTATATGTATAAATTATACCAAGTTATTTGTTGGTAATGCTAATATATTATAACTTGAGTTGGATTGTGAACAAATCGCGTTGATGGTGTAATGAATATCTGCAATCAAACCAGAAAGTAAAAGCACGTAACACGATCCGCGATTTGAATAAACTTACTCAAAAATGATATCGATTGAAACAAGAACAATGGTCAACATCCAAATTAGCATAGCCTATCTTAATTCTTAGCTTCCAGATGCCTTTCGAACAAAGCGGAACTGTCTTGCTCTTGTTTCGCAGATCCTTGTTTATCTTAACTTCCTCTATTTCCCCTTTTTTCATTATTTCTAACCTTTACTTATTACCAAATCAAAAGCACTTATCAATATAAATATGAGCAGTCATAATCATCAAGAGATTATTTTGCCATGTTGAAAAGCGCAGCATCTTTAGTCATCATGTTTAGTAAGAACCAGCCTGGAGTTTTAAAAATAATCTTTCTTGGTTCTTCCCAACATGTGATTCAAATGCTCCACCTGAGATTTTAAAATGTCCACTGATGTTTTCCTGTTTTAATTTTTCTTGTTTTTACTGTGGATAATATAGCTAGAGAATTACTAGTTCCATCGTTCCATCTGCATCTAATACTCACTTTAATCAAAAACCGGAGGGTCATTTCCAAAAATAAGGTGAGACACGAATTAATGTTTAAAAAAACGCCATCATCATGTCTAGTAGGTGCGTGAATTGATCGGACCTCTTTCACAATTTTCAAGGAAAAATCATCTGAATTGTCTGACTTCAACGCCTCTATAGAAACAAATTTATACCAGAGAAAATTTTTGGAAAAAATTACCCGGCTGCTGAGCAGAGTTCATGTTTCATATTTTTTCACACCTTAAATTGACAAAAATGCGTACTAAAGGTCCTTCAAGGTCATTGTTTTCTGATCCGCATTTCATATCAATTTTAGTTCTGAAATTACCATAAATATCAGGGCGTCTCAATGCCAGCATGAAGCTTAAGAATTACCCAAATCTAATTCGTTGTAAATCATGAACAAGAAGGTCATCCAAAATTGCTTCTATTTTTTCTTATAAATTCCCCAGCCGATCTTCGAAAAGTGTGGAACCCGAGTATTTAATTACTAATCCGGAGGGTCCAGTCCAAAACTGCTGGAAGCTATGATGAGAAACAAAGCGAAACTGTGTTCGCTCACTTTTCATATTTTCCTATTTTCTTTTTTATTTTTGGTCTGATTGCCAAAATTACGCAGATTTTTTTTTCAGCTATTAGCTTAAATTTTTTCACGCTTCCTTTTGAAGCCTGAATTAGAACTGGAAATGATTATTGGGATATGATATATAGCTCACGAATCCTTCGGATGGTTTGATGGGTTTACAAGGAAAATAGCTACAACTCATTTGACAAATTATGCCTGCCTTCCTTATAAGCCCGGGTTGATCTCTGATCGCGATAATAATCACGAATTATTTAATTTTACAGGAAACATTGTTGCCAGTTACAAACTTTTAGTTGATGCTTTTGGCTATGCCCACCCCCCTTACTGATTAAAAATGACAACAAAACTTTGAAAGCTTGAAGATTTGAAATTTTAGGGGGGAGAGCGTGCCGAATTAAGTACGCATTTTCAGTAACGTGCCATAAAACAGAAATCCGGCCGCGGTGAACAAAAGATTCTTTCTAGTGTTTCGTAAAAGCCTTCAAAATCAATTTGGACTGCAACAAAAAATAGTCGGCAATTTTTTTGAATTTTTTAGTTTTAGTATCTACCACTTCGAGAACTTCTTAGATCTGCGTCCATGTCAACCTATCCCGCTTTGTAGTTTCGATTATGGATTAGAATCGATTATAGCTATGGATTGGAATCGATTATATTGGATTTTGATACCCGCGATGTCCAGAAATGCAAATAATACAATTTGATATATGTTACAAATTCTAGTCAGACAATTTTCATGCGACTCCATAAGTACAGAAAATTGCATGAAAGGTTTTTGATTAAAATTCCTGGGTTATGGAAAATGTATTACTAATTTTTTCCATAAACCAAAAAATCATGTTTTTGTTCTTTTTTCCACGTTTTTTTTCTCATCGTGTTTGGCTGTGTTTGTAGCCAAACACAAGTGACAAACCCTCTGGTTAATCAAAACCTTGTAACCTCTGAGGCATTGAAGCTCTCGCACATACTATGCATTGAGACCATCATTAAACTTGTTAAAACGTACAAACAAAATATTAAAAAAACCAACATTCATTTTTTTGGCTAATTTTCTTAGGATGAATTTTGTTTTAAAAATGAGTTGAAAATCGATAACTCAAACGGAGGACATATAAAAGAACATGAAATAAAAAATGAAAAAAAAATACTGAATAAAATTTATTTGACTAGTTTTTTCCATAGAGTAAGTACTGGAATTGTATGATTAGCACTTTTGGTCAATGTTGGTCAACTTAGGTAGGTCTCTCTTAAATTCAAAAATACTAGTTTATAATTATTTAAAAGTAGATTATAAAGCTACAACTTTACAAAACAACAAAATACATTCTTGATTGATTAAAATTGATTGTTTTCAACTTAGTTCGATTTTTTTGAATGAAAATTTATTCGTTTTTATCAATTATTGGTGGTTATAGTGGATTATAATTCACTTTTTAATTTCTTCTTTTTGTGAGTTATTTTCATTATTTCCAAAGCAAACTAAATTCAAATTAATAATCTTACTCAGTATCACTTTTCCTGAACGAAATCAGGTTTTTAAATAAATTTTGTGGTTATGTTTTTTATTTACTTCGTTTTTTTGCAAACCCCCAATGTACTCCGTCCCCACCCCCACCGACGTTCAAAGTACCCCCACATTTTTTCTTGTTTATTTGTACTTTAACAATTGAAACAAAAAGACACTGCAGCTTGCAGCTAAAGAACAATGTTCAAATTCAAAAAAAAAACAGCCAGATGCTGTGAAACTATTACAGAAGGTTCAGTTTTTCACGACAATATTGACATTTTTTAAAAAATGATTAAAAAATGAATTCAAAAAATAATTTTTCTTCCACATTTTTGTAGTGAAAAAATGGACTGGAAAATATTCGGAAATTCTCGGACCAAAAGTGCTAACAAGTTGTTTTTTTTTCTGAACCGTTCAGTTTTAATAAGGGTCTAATATGATATCACACTTGACCCCAAACGAACTTTTTCTGAGCTTGTCAAAATTGGGCGGAAAGTCACAAACTAATGCAGAGTTAGTTCCCACCCATGGTAAATATTGTGTTATCAAATAACTACAAAAAAAGTTAAGTGAAAACAAATACTTTTGAAAAACCTTGCTCAGTTTTTAATTTGAGCTTGAACGAAGTCACTCAAAGTCGACGACGTTGAACAAGAGTGTCAATTAAAAAAATGTAGTAACCATAATCGGAAAACATCTGATTTTTTATCATTACATTATTTTCGGCATCATGAATCTGGGAAGTAATAAGCTTAAGTAATTTTTGCTACTCAGTTCAAACATTGGCACCTGTTTATCTTTCTTTGACCCCTTGCAATTGGCCATGTGAGCCTGAATTTTCTAGTCTATCTTCAAAAACTTTTTTTCTACTCAACAAATTAATTTTAAAAACTCTTAATGATCAACTTTTTTCGTCAGTCAGGTGTTTTGGCGCAGATTTGCAGTTGTTTGACAGTTTCACATGTTCTTAGGTGGTAAGAAAAAAATATAACGCATAGCGTACAATCATCTCATAATGATCAAAATAAAATTGGTTGGTGTGCCATTAACACTTAATGTTCATACCAAACCAGTTTTGCTTTGAAGTTGAAGGAAAAGAAATTAAAAAAAAAAAATTATAAAAACTTTTTTTATAGAAAGGGAAAATTCATAAGAAAAATGCAGTAAATACCGGTACCTGAAATGGAAATAACCATATAGAAAAGCTACATCTGGGAGATCAATTTCTCATTAAGTTTTGTCTGGAAAGCAAAAAAAAATCCGACCATTTTTTCTGACCCACTGAGACATATTTTTGATAAGTTACTATGAGAAATACGAACAATATGATTCTAAAATGATACCATATTTGATACCCTAGGAGCTTGTTTGAGGTACTCAAAGTCATGCGGATAAAATGCAGAATAAACCATAGCTCCTTCTCACTCTTGGTCGGATTTTGTTATCAATGAACTACAAAGAAAATAAAACTTATGAACGAAAATCATTAATTTTGGAGAATACCTAGATAAATATTTACATAAATAATAAAATTCCGGATATACTAAAATTGACCAAAGTCAACCAAGGATGACCAAGTTGATTAAAAATGAACCAAGTGGACTATGAAAAAATGATCGAATCACAGAATGGGAGGAGATAGTTTGACCTATTTAATCGATACATTATGTTCGACTGCCTGAACACGGGCACGAAGTAATAACATTTAGCATTTTTTCATGCGTCGTTCAACACACATCATGCAATTATCTCTCTTTGCGCCCTGCAGCTGACCTTTTGAAGCTGAGCTTGAACTTTTTCGACTATCTTTAAAAGCCTCTCAACATCTTTACATAGTTACTTCGTATGCTGCTTAACAAACAAAGAAAATTTGTTTTTTTTTCTGATTAATTTTCATTAATCAACACATACGAACATTCTGACACAATTTTGCAGTTGTCTTAAACTTTTTGTAAACTTTTGTTATTTAAATTTACATGCCATTAGGGATTATTACGAGAAAAATTATGGCGTAGAGCGTATAATCAATTTAATACCACTTTACTGAATAAAACTTTCATATCATGGGTGGATGATAAGCGTAAAAAAGAATTATTTACAAATGTTGCCAGTTTTTAACAACTATTGCTTCTGATCTTCCGGCGCCTAATTGTGAAAATTGTAAAAGTTTTAAAAATTGTAAAAATATCCTAATTGTGAAAAAGATCCATTTCCCCAAATCCTCGAATTTACGTTAGAACTAAAACGTATCATTTTGATCAAGTAAAACTGGGGTCACCTGTGTTTAATGATAAGAGCATAAAATGGTTAGGCTGATCGTCAGAAAGTTAAAATTTGATTATCAGAAAAGAATATTTGCTCTCTTTCTGAACTCATCCGTTTTCGTTTACGCCTTTCCTCTTTAAAGTTTGATTACTTTTCAAAAAATTATTTAGGCGGAGCTATCTCTTCATCAAAATTAGCCGAGCTTGCATAACAAATATTGTGTCTGATGCAAACAAACCATCGTTCACAGCCCAATTTGAAGGTCGTACCCAATTGGTTAAAAGTGAAAAATAGTGCACTCATTAAGGGAGCACTAACCAATAACCCCCAACTGTGGACCCAAACTACCCGTACCTATATCATTCCCCCTCGCCCCTAGATACGAGCACATATAGTGCTGCAAGTGTGGTCTATAGACGCCAACCAGCCCCCTATTACATCCAGGGTCCAAGTGGGATCGACAGCAGGGGATCTTCGACGAGACGACAGAGAAACTTCTGGGCACAAAAACGAGAACAGGTATTGTTCATTTTTCAAACACCATAATGACTAACGCGGATACCTAAACCCATTTGGTTATCACTACTAACCTTGTTAAACCAATCGTTATAAATAACATAAACTTGAAGTGACAGAGGGGTAAAAAAATGCCACCCAAAGTGATGTAAATCTCCGCGTATGGAAGGAAATTCAAGTGTTTTGTGAAAGATTAAAAAATCAATTTGTTCGCACAAAACAAAAGTTATACGAACCATACTTTAAAATGGAACTTGTAAAATAGTATTATAATGATTAAATGATTATTCCAAACAACAGCAGACGATTTTTGTGCTAAAAGGGCTTGGTTATCCGACCACATTAACATAAGAAAAAAATTATAATTGGTGTAGTTTTTTTGCGTGCTTGGCGTGATGACAGAAACAAAACGAAAGATTATAACATTAGTGAATCACTCTTATTCGGCTAGTTTTTCTCAAGAAATGAATATATATCGAATAAATCAAAAAAATTGAAAATAATCGAAAAAATCAAAAAAAAATTATAACTATAAAAAAGATTTGCAGAAATTGTTTTTGAGTTTTTCTTTAATTTTTTTTTATTTTCAAGAAGGCGCCAAAAAGTTTCAGAAACTAGCTTTAATGTAGAGCAACTAAATTTTCATGGCCCTAATATAAACCCGACTTAAAGCTTCAATTTTTTCCGTTTTTATCGACACTGAGAAAACATTTAGGATTTTTTCCATTGTCATAAGAATTACGGCTACAAGAACTTCAATATGATATATCATTCGACCCATTCCAAAGATTATTTGTGGAAAATTTAGCGTGGAAAAAAGAAAAAAACAAAATTTAAACAAACACACCCGAAGACAAACTTCTTCCCCTTTTTCAGTTTTGGATCGATAATCGATTTATTTTTTGTAAAACAAAACATCAATATTTTCAAACTATTTTAAAGAATCATCATCTTAAAATATTTAGGAGGCCCTGAGGCACCAGCGGATTTGAAGGGGGGGGGGTTCTAGGGCCGTCTCCCACTCAGGGATTCGACCCCCTGCCGACCCAAAGGGTCCCCCCTCTTTGTACTATTATGAGATATCCATTTTTAGTGCTGGACTCTAAAAGTTTTCTAATAGCGCCTTTGGCTCCGATATATCCTATTTTTGAGGGGGAGCGCGCGCCAAAAAACGCGACTTTTTGGTCAAATTTTTCCAAAAAATGCCTAAAAACGCCTTGTTTGGCCTGTTTTCTCAAACATTTGCCTACGGCGCAAAAAATTTGGTCAAAATGGGGTCTTTATAGTGATTTGAAAGGGCTCATAAAATCAATTTGGTCGACCTAAAAAAAGGTCGACAAAATAGGACCTCAAGAAAATCCTAGATCCTCCCCTGCCCTGAGGCCTTGTGTTTTGGTCAGAATTCAAGGTTCCATTTGTTTAGCGAATCAGAAAAGCAATGAGCAGCGGAGAACCCTGGACGTACTCAACGCTTCCGCGAAACGCCAACGCCTCCCAAATGAGTCTGATAGGAGAAGCAATGGATACACAAAACAACCCTCACCCCGAACTGAACCCAATTATGCACCCGCAAATGAAACGGACCTCAAAGGGTCCCCCAAACCGACCGCCGCCTAGTGTTCCGCCCCTGGGAAACAAGTTCACATTTCACTCCACAGAAATGCTACTGGGGGATCATCCGCATCACTCAAATCCTCCCTCCCCTTCAGGAAACCCGGGCGCTTTTTCTCCCCCAATTTCCCCGTACCCCATGGTACCGCTCCACAGCCCAACCTATCTAGCTCAACCGGGTAATTCGAACACCGCACCGAGAGCGGGTAGGAAATTACAGGAGTTGAAGCAGTCGCTGTTCGCCTCTTGGGGACGCAAACAACCCCCGAGTTTCCAGCACGGAACGCAGCAACAGAACGCGGGACAGTCCGCCAATTATCCAGGTACGTTTTTCATTTGTAAATTGCTCATTTTTCAAGTTGTCGCTGATAATGATGAACCAATTTATGATCAGATTTAACTTAGCAAACTTGTATTTTCTTTAGTTTTTTGCGACAAACTTTTGATCAACTGAAATCACTACGCGTGCTCAGTTTCTATCTCACATTATATTTAATGATCGCAAAGCCAGCCTCAAATTAATAAATTCAAAATTTTTAGTGTTTGTTGGTTATAAATAACTGAAACTTTATTATGATTTTCAGTTATGGATCCCGCGATATCCTTGCCGGCATCTGGTTTCGCCGGCGTCCCCGTATACATGCGCAGCATCAGTAGCAGCACTCCCCTCTCCCCCTCCCAATTCCACTCTCAAGCGTCGCAGCTGAACAGGATTGGCCAATTGGGGGAACATTTGGGGGTTGTTGGGGGGAGTAGTTACCTGAGTGGTGGGAGCAGAGATAGGGTCTCGTTGCAGTCGAGTGTGGAAATGGAGGTGGTCGGGGGAGGGGGAATGGTTAATATGGAGAGATTCAGTTTCAGGTCAGTTTCAAACCGAGACAGACTCTCATTTTGGGAAAATATCATACATGCGCTGCTGTTTTCACCTAATATCAATACCTCAAGACTTTCTTTTCCAAATGTCCATCAAAGTTTTTTGAAATAAATTTGTAACAACTCAATCAAGTTGTTTAAACTCACTATTAGCGCAGCCTTATTTTTCGTCTGTTGCGTCAATGAATTGGAAATTTTTTTATACCTGCAGACGCCTTGTAGATACACCTTGAAAAAAAACACCATGATGAATGGAAGCTTGCTTGAAGTTACATGAAGTTTTCATTTGAGAATACACGACGATGTCTTCACTTAATGTTTTCACTGTCAAAGTCAAGAATACTGCCAGTGCTCGACCAAAATTACAAAAGATGGAAAATTGTTTCAGTTCAGCCAAGTACAAGTTTGAAACATTCGTAGTCTTTTCAATTACCCCCCCCCCCCCCCACCAGGTGATGTAAAATGTGTAAACGAAAGTTTTAACATGAAATTTTGATTTATATTACAGAAAGGCGAGATAGTAAAATAAGACTACATTACGAGGTTAAACTGTGCATTTTGTGACTTTTAAGCCGATTTAGCAACAGGCCAAAAACAAACTTTTTGCGAAATCCGCACATTGCTGTTTTTAAAACCTTTTTGGTTCTTTTGAATTCCAAGGATAAAAACTAAATTGCTGCGAAAACTGCTTTTGAAAATCTTTGCCAAAACAGCTAAAACACTGTGTTGCTCAAAATCTCTCAAAAATCAGGCAATAGTTAGTGCCACAAACAATTGGAAACAATGGAAACCACAAACAAATTTTAAATATATGTGTTTATTAAACTTAAGCTGTCGCGGAATCCGCAACTGTAAGTGGAATCAGCAAATGGTCAGCGGAAACCGCAAATTGTAAGAAGAGTCTTAAACTGTAAGCGGAATCCGCGTAAATTTACAAAACCCAATTACATTTGCGGACTCTGCTTCCATTTGCGGAAACCGGAACAACTACCTATGTTCGCTCATTGCGGAATCCGCAACAAAACTAATGTGCCGACAAAATTTACGTTACAGGTTTACTTTTATTTTGGATTCCAGGAAAACACAGACACCAAATTTTCCGCCTATCCAGTGCACAGTTTGGCCTCGTAATGTAGTCAAAACGAAGCAGTTCAGTCAATCAGACTTCAATCTGGCTCGCTTCTTCAATTTTTTTGCCAATTTCTTCACAAAAATTCAATAAATTAAGCACAAATAAGTTTTGAATTGTCGTCAATTTCAATATTTGGGCCTTTTTCTATGATGTTTATTCAACGTTCAGAATATCAGCCTAGCATTTCTATGTAAGTTCGATGGAATGATGTAGAAATACACCTAGAGCAAAATCGAGATGTACTTTTTACACTATCAAACCCAAGCATGTTAAAAAGAACATACAATGAGCACGGTCGAAATTCAAATCGAGCAGCATCGAAATGCAATTCAAGCATCGAAATGCAATTCAAGCACGACGATGCAAAGATAGATCATACACGATTAAAAAACACACCTCGACCGTGATAGAAACATACGTTGAGTATGTTCCAAATATGGTTGTGGTTTTTCTCGATCGACGGGAGGGGGGGGGGCACTGTCGAAACACACTTTTAGAGCACTCAAAACATAATCCGATCACTTTCAAAAACATACTTCAGGTGAACGGCTCAAAACATAATTCGCGCAGGTTCTAAAGTAACAATATTTTTTTATTAATTGGCGTTTCGGCGATTCAGGTCATCAGGCCTGTTTAAGCATAGTCCATTTCTTTTATTTTCCCACATTCCAGACTGAGTTGCTTCGTTGAGCGCAACTCTTTATTCCAGTCTAGAACTTTCGCGTGTTACCACTTTTGCAGCCGTCAGGTAGAGGCAGAACTGAAGCTAAAGGTCACACTATCTTTACTATGGCAAAACCGAATACACGATATCATAGTGAACGCCCTATTACCATGCAAAGTGCTTCTAAGAGTTTCATCGGTTATAGTCAAAATACGTCGAGCATGGTCAAAATAGTTCAAGCATGGTCAAAATACACCAAACATGGTCAAAATACTTCAAGCTTGGCCAAAATACGTCGAGCATAGTCAAAACACTTCGAGACTGATCAAAAAACTACGATCACAGTCAAAATACGTCCAGCATGATCAAAACAACTCGAACATGGTCAAAATACTTCAAGTATGGTAAAAAGAACGTCGAGTTTTCCCTCAGTGACAAAAATTGATAAAAAACTATTATCTACAAAAAATATACAGATTTCAAAATTATTGTTATTGTATACAGTCATATAGTCATATATATTTTTTAGTAATCGATTAGACTGCATTTCTTTTTGGTAAAATGTTACACTGTATAACTTCATTAGAAAATCATTGTCAAAACTTTTTTCCCAGTTAAGTTATACCTAGTATCAACAGATGATGTTTAGATTACATACAGATTATACACAGTTTACTTACAACTATTTACAAATAATAAGCAGATTATCTACTTATTATATACAAGTTATGCAGTTTATCTGCAGATTATATACAGATTTTCTTAGTTTTTCTCAAATATATAATACATGCTTTCCAGTTAACGTTAGCTAACTTGTCAGTTTCCGTAAAAGAATGCTTATCATACACTTTCATATATGGTGACTATGGAAAAATGCTTATCATACAGTTTTCATACAAATTTAAAAACTGTATTAAACGTTTTTGGAGAAACACATCTGTTCTATTTCCATCTTTTGAATCTTTCTGCTCAATAAAAATGATTTTAATTTTGGTCAAAAAATGCTAGTCATAATATTTTCATATATAAAAATTGTAAGACAAGCATTTTGCTATAGAAAAAATAGAAATCTTCAAAATTAATTTAACGACGTTTCTGGATGAATTTACATGAGTTTCAAAAAATTTTATTGAAAAAAAGGCACTTTGACTTTCAAAAACATGATTTTAATTTTGGTTAAAAAAATGCTTATCATATAATTTTCATATATGAAATTTATATGATATGCATTTTTTCATAAGCAAAAACACAAAAATTGAGGTAAAAAAATTTTAATCCCTTTTTTGGTTGCAAACTTGCTTTTGTGCTCAAATATAATTTTTGGTGAAAAATAATTTTGCAAGCAAAATTTGACTTTTTGTGTTTATAACGTAGTCCAGGATGAGTTTTTCACCCAAAAAATCCAGAAAGATGAAAAAATGTTTTTTTTTGTAAACACGATTATTATTTTTTTATTTCATTTGCTTGGATAAAAATATATTTAAAAAAAAAAACAGGCCTTTTTTTCTTAACTAGCAAAATTTTGAAACCAAAAATTATCTAGCCATATAGAAAGAGTTCCTTTTGTGCTATATGATTTCATGTGAAAAAGTATAAAGTAGTAATGTAAGTGGCAAAAATCACCAAATGCAGTTTATCTGCGTAGTAACTGCCAGTTACACTCTGGGTTTTCTAATGACAAAAAGTCCAGGTTTAGTGTTTCAGATGAAACACAAATTTTCAAAACAAATTTTTCTTGGTATTTTCGTTTATGGAAAAAATGCTTGTCGTACAATTTCATAGTATGGAAAAAATGCCAACAATAATATTTCATAGTATGGAAAGAAAGGCTCATCATGCTATTTTCATGAAATTTTTTTTGGTCTATAAAATAGTATGAAATAGTATGATAAAATGAAATAACATGAAAAACATTTTTTGTCAACCCGGCGGTTTTGATTTTCGGTAAACATTTACCCTCAAGTGACTTCAGCTACCTAAAACACTGACGGGTTTTTTTCTTGAGTACAAATTTGCAAACACTTGTGAACATATGCAACTTTAAATAAATAAACCTTTGTATAACACCTTGAGTGTTAGACAATAAATGTATTATACACAGTGCTTTATCAAGCAACGGTTCCTTATATTCTTTTATCAAACCAATCATATTTTTTTACCGTTTTAATGGAAAATACTACAAAAAAAATTATCTTTCTTTTCCATATTCCTTTATCTAGCCAAACATTGTTGGTCTGAGACGACTGTGGAATCCAGACGCATCAAAAAATCTCTAAGGGAGTTATCTAAGTTGTAACTTTCTGTGTTTGTACCAAAGTTAGCAATCAATTCCCTATATACCAAAATACTTATTGTTCCGACTTTCGAAGAAAACGGAATATTTATGCTACGTGAGGTTTTTTATTCAGTCAAATTTCGCCAATCGAAATAATAGTTTCCGACAATTTTTTTATGCTCCGTTGAGGATATTGACTCCTTGAGTTCAAATATGAAAAGATGTTTTACCTTCGATGATTTTTTGTAAAGTTCTGGAGGTTTGAAAATTGCCAAATTGGCCATGTTCTGGACTAAACTATGCGCGCTTTGAAGAATTTATTCATTTTGTTGAGAGCATAACACAAATTATTAATGTGTGGCGGATTATTCGGCCCAACAAAATTGTTCCAAATTGAACTGAGGCTAGTTAATTGGTCCTATTAATTTCGTACGACTCAAAACTTTACACTTTGATTTTGTCCAAAATTTATAGATTTTCAAAATTTTCTTTTTACCCAAAAACTATTCGATTTGAATAAAGGGACAGTCGGAACGTTCAGGGTTTTGCCCTGATATACGAGCAGCCTTGTCTACATTCTAATTTAGTTTGGCCGGTCAATGTTTTTGATTTTTTTCATTTGTTAATCTGTATGTTTTTCTGAAAGCTATGAACTTTTATCCATTTTTGTCACAGCGGGTGGTGAAAACATTTCGAGCATGGTCGAAAACTAGATCAGATAGGTTCGAAACATACAATGAGAAAAGCAATCGGTCAAATTTTCATTGGTCAAATTCCTCAAATTAAGTACTATTTTTGTAATTTTTGAGCAAAAAATGATGAAAACTAAGTAAATTTCCTTTAAGAGTGTTGCTCTGGCTTCACACTCGTTGAGGATACTATTCAGTTTATCTTAAAATAGGACAACTTTTCACAACTTGGAGGTCTGACCATTCGTAAAACCCGTCAAGCTAGAGTTGAGGAAAAATTTAACCAAAGTGATTTTTTCAATGATTTTTCAAATCAAAAAAGGATCCAGAAAGATCTTGAAAAACTTAGTATCGATACGATAGCATAAAATGATATTTCATTTGAGGTGGCACTAAATTTTTTTTGCAAAAAAACATGGCAAGGTGACGAGGGAAAAATTAAACTTTAACGCGTTTCCTTACGAGACCAAACTGTGCATTTCGTGAATTGTAAGAGGTTTCTGCAACAAGGACGCTTCCTATGTTCTTCCTTTGTTAATTCATTCTCTTTAATCGTTCTGACAAAATTTGAACATGTTTAAAGACTTGTCTCTGGAATCCAGGATTATACACAAAATTCTTCGCCTATCCATATTCCCTATATTAGTCTGGAACAAAAATTTTTGTCTAAACATACCAATATTCGGTCGAGCCGACCGAAACAAAACCTTGTAGTTTTGAGCGAAGTCAAACCCCTTTTAGGGTAAAAAAACCGAAATATCCAATGCCATTTGAGACTATTGAAACTTATCAGGTTTGATTTTTTGGCCGAATCATCCATGATTAGCTGGATCGCGCTGATCAAAATTTGGTCAACACGGCGGAAGTTTTCATTACAAAATTTGAAACATGTTTAATCGAGCACCTCGACACTAGAAAAGTGGTTGTCAAAGCATTATCAGTATCAAATGTTTGTTAAGATATCACGTTTTTTATGCATGAAATTTTAAAGACTGCAAACGCTCTCTCTCCAATGTAAATTTTATTCAAAAGAAAATGGCAAAAAATTATTGTTATTTTACCATTCTAGCAATTAATATATTTAAGTCTGCAATTTTTTCGATACAAAATACAAAGTTAAGTTTCGATATTTCAGCATTCTGATCTTGATTATACTTTGATTAAATGCTTTGGGTCTTTTTACTAATTCCGCCCAATATTTCTTGAACTGAATAACCTTTTCAACTTTTTTGCTTCACTCTGATAGGCTAGAGTTAGCCAATCAGTTTTCAATGTTTCGTTTTAGGTCTTCGATGAGTGATGAGCCCCCAATTGGCCAGCAGAACAATCACATTCTATTCTCAACCCCAACTTACAGCAGCAAAGTTAGTGTAAATGGAAATATTTTTTCGTTTTTTTTTTCAGAAGAATGGTTTCCTGAAAATATTATTTAATATTTTGGCATTCTTTGCAAACAAAATGTTGTCGAAAGTTTGGTTCCTGTTTTCACTGTTAAAAATTGATTAGATATTATTTGAATTTATATGAAGGGTACTTATGACACCAAAAGTTTTTATAGAAAACAAGTAAAACATAGAAAATTACTTTGAATCGTCCGTCACAACATTATCTTCCAAAAGATTTGTCAATGTGTGCTTAGGTAAAGGGGTCAAAGCCTATAATCTGTAATAATTGAACCACTCATTTTAATAAATGATTATCCTGCATTCTCATTTCATACAATTTCAAGTAAACATTAAAAGTTCTGTTAATTTTTGTCTTTTTGGTACATTTGCTGACTTTATTCATTCTTCGCCTACATCATACTTCAAAAAAGAAATCCAAAATTTTACTATGAATAAATATTTTTATTTTTTGAAAAAAATGCTTATCATACAATTCCCATATATGGAAATTGTATGACTGGCATTTTTTTTGATGGCGAAACAAAAACTTTGAATTTGCCCAAAACTTTTTTTGTTTTTTTTTCAACCGCAAATCGATTTTTGTACGCAAGCAAACATTTCCAAAAACATTTTTTTTGCATGCAAAATTTTTATTTTTTGTGTGCATAACGTAGTCCTGGATTCACTAATATTGGGATTTTTTTCCTTTTCGCTTTAAATTTTTTTTCAAAAATGCTGAAAATTTCTATTTATTCTCTATGTCGTGTTTATGTATGCCTTGATCAATATCTGATAATTTGAATATTCAAAAATTTAAAATAATCATCATTGATAAATTTTGCCAAAAAACAAAAGTTTGTTACTTTTGGTATATCATTTGTGATAGACAACTCGAAGATAATGCAGGTCGTTTTCTATGCATTGGATATGCATGACCGTCCAAATATGGTGCTCTGAGTAAACCAAGGTCTTTGTCATTTTTGTTTGGTTACAAACACAACCAAAATTTCACAAAAATTAAGTTTAGAAACAAAAAATCAATTTTTTGGTTTATGGAAAAACATCTATCATAAAATTTTGATATATTGAAAAATGCTTATCATAGAGTTTTCATTCAATTTTCTGTCGTATCGAATTCTATGAAGTTGTATGATAAAACGTTTTGGTCAACCCGGGATATTATTCAAAAAAACACACACAAAAAATCAAAAAGGAGGTATGGTCATAAAGATACAATTGTAAGTGTGAAAACATCGGAAGCAACAGGATTGCAATAATAGCTTCAAAGTCAATGAAAAAATAAATCATTTCACACTTTTCACCTGGTTGTGAAGTGGAAAAGGATCAAAAACCTGAAGATGCCTTTCAAGTCTGCTTTTTGGTCGGGATAAATAATTATTGTGTTGAAAGGAAATTGTCATAAAAAATTGGCGCTTCTTCACGCTTTGGTGGTTTTTTTTTCGTCATGTAGTTATACATTATCATTATCCTTCAACGTCAGTAATACACGTTCAGTGGCTCATTCTTGTCAAACAACCCGTCAACTTCAAATTTAGGTTGGTTTTTGGTGTACAATTAGGGTTTCCTTTCAAAATACTTGTCGTAGTATTTGTTATTATTGTTCCGAATTTCGAAAGTAAGAGAATATTTCTGCTCGGGGTGGTTTTTTTTTCTTCAGACAAGATTCGACTTTTTAACTAGCCATTTTTGACCGAATTTTGTTATATCATTCAAAAGATATTGCTGTCTTGAGCTTAAATTTGAAAAAATATTTCACATGTTATCATTTTTTGTAATGTTATGGGGGTTTAAAGGTTGCCATTTTTGCCTATTTGGAACAATAAACGAGAAGTATATTTCGCGCTATTATCGCATAAGTGCAGATTTAATCCGTCTGAGAAATCGTTTCAAATTATTTGAAGGAGGCTTATTTGCCAAAGTTGGTTTGTTACTAGGAGCGAAATCTATCACGTACTTTATATGGCTTGTGGGGGGATGATTTGCACAAAAATCTCAAATAAATAAAATCATTTGTTTTTTTTATTTTTAATTTTTTCATGTTATTACTGCTCCGTAGACACTAAATGGCACAGCACGTTTTCAGACCACCAGTTTTCTGGAAAGAATTTGGATTCAGGTATGGTTTTTTCTGCAAATTGGGTTCCCGAAAAAAGTCACAAAAAATGAAATTTTGCAGCAAACTACAAATTTTACAGTATTTCGTCGCGTGAAAAAGTTTTAATAAACCTTAAAAAACTAAATTGTACATTGGATACGCCAATGTCGCACCGGCACTCAGTAAAAAGAGAAAATAATCGATTATATTACAATTTTAATTGTACTTTAGGGTTTCCTTTAGAGATGTCATGTCACTCTTTGGTTCACCTGAACACAAAGTTTTACCACGAAACAAAAGTTTCATAGAAATCCCTTCATAATAGTCGAAAGAGTCCCGCGGTATGTGAAATATAACTTTTCTATATAAATCATGAAACTAAAGCAGTGTGCTGATATTTTGGTGGTAAAAAAACATAAAATGTGCATCATGAAACAACTATAATCAAGAAGAAATGAAAAAAAAAATGTTTTAATTTTGAATTGATTTGAAAGCTGTTAAAACAAATTTTCCCATTTTTCACTTAAGTCAACGTCTACGAAAAGCATAAAATATAAGCAATGCAGGTGGAAGGTCGAAGACAAAATGAGCAAACAAAAGGTATTATAAACAATTATAATCGATTATAATGGATTTTTCTGCAAACAAATTATAATCGATTATATTGTATAATAACTGATTATATTTGATTTCAAAAAGAGAGATTATACACGATTATCATTTGATTAAAATCATTTTTCCCCAATTTTTGTAAAACTGGTAAAAAAAATCATATTATAATCGATTAATAACGCTTGAAACTGGATGCGGGCAAAAACTTGTCAGGTAAGATGATCACTTTCAATTAACGTTAAATTGAACTTTTTGCCCGTTTTTATAAACTTTACGCGCAATCTATCCCTGTCCCTGATAAAACAGCAAAGAAAAACAGAAAAAGCCTTAAAGTTTTTTTGAAAATTGAAAATAATTGTTTGAAAATTTGTTTCTCTTTTGAATTTTCGATGTTTCAACAAAATTGGCGCATTAGTTTTGGCGATTATTGAAACAAAGACACTTTGGATAACAATCGTCTTATCCATTTCCAGTGCTCAAGATAGAGAAATTCTCTCCATTGAAGTTTTAACATCTCAGCTCAGCTTGACTAAACATGAGTTGGAAATGCTTCTCATACGTTTATTTCAATACATAGGTTCTGTGGAAAATTTAAATAGGGTCTCATAATAACTTCAAACTTGGGAAATATAGAAAAATTCTTGTTATTTATACAATTTCTCTGAAAATCGTATGACTGGCATTTTTTTTTTCATAAAAAAGTCTAGTCAACCAAGATTGACAACTAACGTTCGTGTGGTCTTAAAAAACACAAAGCGGAACAGTCTGCTTTATTACACTCTGTTAAATATTCTTTCATTTTTGAAAGTTTTCAAAACAATATCAATCATATTATCTTCTTTTATGCAAAATGTTTGATGCGCATCTGTTATTTGAGTGCAAAGCGTATCCAAATAAAAATGATAAATCTGGATTACTTTTTGGGTAATTTTAGACGCAGACAAGGCTGCTCGTATCAGGGCGAAACCCTGAATGTTCTTCCGACTGCCTTTTAAGTTTTATGGAGCAGTAATAACGTAAATAAATAAAATAAAATTTAAAAAATGAATTTTTTTTTCTTCTTAAAATTGACTTTTCTTTTAAAATCATCCCCCCACACGCCATATAAAGTACAAAAGGATAGATTTCGCTCCTTGTAACAAATCAATTCTGGTAAATCAGTTTATGGCAAATCAGCAAATCAGCAAATCAGCAACCAATTTGGAACGATTTCTAAGACGGTTTAAATCTCCGCTTACGCATTAATAGCGCGAAATATATCGCGCGTTAATTGTCCCAAATTGGCCAAAATGGCAATTTGTAAACCCCCATAACTTTACGAAAAATGATCACAGGTAAAATATCTTTTCAAATTTAAGCTCAAGGTAACCATACCTTTCGAATGATATAAAAAATTCCGTTAAAATGGCTAGTTAAAAAGTCGAAATTTGTCTGAAGAAAAAAAAACCCACCCCGAGCACAAATATTCCGTTACTTTCGTATCGAAAGTCGGAACAAAAAATTGTAACTTTAAAAGCAATTTAAACGCAGCTTTTGAAAATACACAACAAGTAATCCAGATTGTTATTTGTCTTGCACTAAGTAAAAATTTACTGCCCATAGAACATTACGAGGCCAACCTATTAATTCTGTAATTTGTAAGCGGATTCCGCAACAGGCAAAAACCAGATTTTTCGCCGAATCCGCAACCTTGCTATAATTCTTTGATCTTCTCTGCTGTTTTGGATTCCACGGACAAATAGCTAAAACATTGTGTTGGTGAAAATTGCTCCAAAAAAATTTGCGGAATCCGCAACAAAATATGTGGAATACGGAACCAGTTTGTGGAATCCATGAAAAACTTATAATATACGTGTTTAGTAAACTTGAGCTGTCGCGGAATCCGCAACTCTAAGTGCAATCCGCAAATTTTTAGCGAAAACCGCAAATTGTAAGCGGATTCCGCAAATTGTAAGCAAAATCCGCTAATTTGCGGAATCCGCTTACATTTGCGGAATCCTCTTGCATTTGCGGAATCCGGAACAACTACTTATATTCGCTCGTTGCGGAATCCGCCAGAAAATCAACCTGCCAACAAAATTTATGTTACAGCTATCCACCGAAATTTTTGAAGTGGAATCCACTAACGTTTTGGAACATGTTCAAAGACTTGTATCTAACGCAAAAAAAACTGAAATGAGACAAAAGGAATCGTATTGCAAATCAATCTGCTTAAGATATAAACGCTATTTCAACTAAGCCCAAATTATCA